AAACAGCCTTGGTGAAAGTGACAGCTCCTCTTAAGCTCTCATGTGACTATTTGACCTCCAAAGCACCCAACGGCTCTCTCCTTTGCTCTGGCCGACATCCTCATTTATTTAATTCATTCTTGTACTCTCCTTAGCTTCATTAATCAGCAGATGAATTTACTTGAGACCCAAGGCCAACTGGTTGTACGGAATTACTTGTTTCTCAAGTAAACTCATAATGGCGCCTAAACAGATTCAAATGCTTCTCTTCTCCTTTCTCTTGATCTTTATTGCTTCATCTCAACAATTCTTTCGGTTTCTGGCTTCCATCTGAAGCCTCTGAATGAGATCCTCAAGTCCAATCTTCTTCTTTTTGTGCTTCAGGTAGTTCTTGAATTCAGCATAGCTTAGAGGAAGCTTTTGGATGAGACTGAGGGTTATGAATGTCTCATCTATGGATATTCCTTCAGCAGCAATTTCATAGCAAATGAGCTGATACGCTTCCACCTGATCTATGATGGGTTTTGAATCCACCATTTTGAAGCCATGGAATTTCACAACTACATACTTCTGGCAGCTAGCGTCTTCACCTCTATACTTCTTGTCCAGCGATTTCCATAGCTCTTTAGCCGTTGGAATCTCACAGTAGACTTGGTACAATGGGTCAATTAGACGACCCAAAATGTAGCCTTTGCAGATGAAATCCGAATGCACCCAACTTTCAACACTTGAGAAGACGTGCATATCGTCAATCCCATGAAGGATAATGGGCTTATCTTCCTCGATGAATTTGTCCAACTTGCACAAACTGAGGAAGAGCAACATCTTCTTCTGCCACGTTTTGAAACCTTTGCCATCAAATTTGTCTGGCATCATATTCTGAGAGATGACACCAGGAATAGCCGGAGGAGTCCCAACTGCAACCGGAACACTTGTGGATCCTTGAATTGGACCCGTTTGATAAAGATCAGCACCGAACAGGCTACGGCGTGTGGTCTCATCAGGAATAGCACCCACTGGAAAGGTCGCATCGGTTGATACAGTGTTCGTCACGCTGGTTGCAACAGGTGCTGTCGCGTTGAGTGGAGTCTGAGTGGCGAGGTCAATGGGGGTGTTATTAACGTTCATCATTTTTCTGTAAACAAAATATGAAAACGGATCAGTACTCCATACAACCATTCAAATAACAACATATTATTTTTAAGCAAAAATTATAGTGTGAAATCGATTTTCATTTTTGGTAATCTGAACCAAAATCATATCGATACAAGTCTGGAAAACGTTTTGCAACCTCGCTTATAAGCGTCCGCAGAAACCGTTTAGTGTAGACTTAGAATTTTTCACAAATTCACTTAATAAAGCATCTATGAAAACGATTTATATATAAAAAAAAACAAGTATCTAAAACGTTTTGCGGATGATGGTATAAGCAAACCGCAAATCGTTTTGAGATAAGTAAGAAACGTTTCGCGGAAATGATAAAACCAAATCGCAAACAGAGTTTCGAAGAACGTTTCGCGGAAGTGCTTTAGAGCAAATCGCAAACACGTATAGTAGACAGATAATAAACGTAAAACGTTTCGCGGAAGTGCTATAGAGCAAATCGCAAACACGATTCCAGAACCTGTTTCTATACATCGCTTTTTTCAACCCGATTAAAGCTTTAGACAGAAAGCGATTAAGAGTTAAGTTTGTAGAAGCCGGAAAACCGGATCGACATGAACGATATAAGAAAGACGAAGTTAAGGAAATAGACGATTATATAAGACATGGAGGCGAGATAAATCTCTTTCCTTAACTCTTAATATTCGCTCCATAGTGAGACGAAATTGTACGAATATCGAGTCCCAGGATACAACCATGGCAGACGAATCACGCTTCACTCGTGAAATGACCTAACGAACTAAAATTCTAGGAACACTCTCTAAACTTACTCTGGGAGATTTGCTGGTTTTTTTCTTGCGTAAAAAGGTTAAGAATGGAGAAAGAGGAGAGACGATATTTAAAGAGAAGACGAGGAGAAACTTCCCGTAACGTGTGCTCGTTAGTGGGGATTTGGCAAAGATCTCGGGAAGTTTAAGTTATGAAAACTTATCCCCCAAGACTCGCTCTCTCGTTTTTTATTAAAATATCTGGCGAGGAATAAACAGCATGACGTTTTTTTATTTGGTGGACAAACTACTTGTCATTTTAAATAAAATTGCATGCAAGCCCAAGCCGAGCCCGAGCCCGAGCCCAAGCCCAAGCCCAAGCCCACGCCGAGCCGGCCGGACGGTGGCGGCGACGCGCGCGTGGAAGCCTTTCTCTCTCTCCAAACTGTTTAATTAGCTTAGATGAGATAGCATATATATACTACTCATTCTTCTTGTTTCTCCCCGATGTGGGACTTTCTTTACTTCCTCTTCATTATTATGCCACAAAGGCTTACATTGAATTGGGCCAATCCCATTTCTTTTCACGTTTAATTTACCAAGCCCATGGCTTTGTTAATTATCCAACATCATTTTATCATGAATCAATTTTAGAAAACACGTGTCACAAATACATGAACCTATGCGGCTTCGCACAGAGTAGGCTGGATATCGTCGAAAACAATTCGAAGCCCAAAACGTGAGAAATGAAATGAAAGACGAAACGCAGTGTTTGCTTACACGGACAGATGTCAGCTTGTGGAGATAATATTTGATAACATGGCTTTCCCAAGAAGAAGAAACCTACTATATATATATATATATATATAATATATATATATATATATACTAGGGGGTTATCCGCAAAGCGTGGAATTTCTTACTTAGTTGTTGTGTGTATGTTTGATCACGGTGTATATGGTTGTGTTAATTCAGTGGGTCGTACAAATAATGCATAGTTGGGAGTTTGAAATGTTGTTAGTGGTCTGGTTCTTGCATTTTGTTTTTGTTTCTGTGCTTTGAAGTGGATTGTTTTTGTATTGAATAGAGTTATATTGTTATTTAATTGGGCCTTGTGTTACACAAAAGTACTATGTCATTTTTTATAAGAAAAACGGAATATGTTATTTCCGTTGTAATATTTGGTTGAAAATTATTTTTTACTGTATTTTTTATAAGAACAAAGTAATATGTTATTCCCGTAATATTATTTGGTTTGAAAAAAAAGTAAAAAGTAATAAGTTTGATTATTAGACTAGGTGATTTTCCCGTGCTCATGCACGGGTATAAATATTTTTAAAGTAAATATATGATAACAATTGATTACTATTTACTTTTAATTTTAAATTAATTTATAATTTTTATGCATCATTTATATTAATAATATTATATTACTTTAATTATAATATAATTTTATATATGTTATATCTAGTCGATTTTGTTGTTTTTACAGTTAATTTAGTTATCGTTTGGATAAATTGGGTTGCATCTCTGAATTCAACTGTAATATTTTAATAAATATATTAATTTTTAATTAATTACTTATTTGCATATAGTGGGTGTTGTCTTAGATATGTAAATATATTTTAGGAAAATTATGTATAACTTAGAATATATTGTGCTTAGAATGAATTAAAAATTAAATAAAGTGTTTGATTCCAAAATACGTAAATTAATATAACGATAATATTCTAAAATATCATTCATATATATATAAATTTTACAAGAGAACTAAAATTGTAAAAGTTGGTTAATATTTATTTTTATTTGTTAATATGTTTTTAGTTATCCTATGATCAATAGAAGGTTTCATGTATAAGTAGTTAAATACATTTTTGGAAGCTCATGAACACATTTCAATATTTACAATAATTAAAATATCTATAAATCCTAAATAAATTTATGTTTTAGATTTGTTGAATGTAAACTGAAATTTATTTTAAATAATCTTAAAATTGGGAATTCAGATTTGTTTTGGTATTTTGATTATGGTTATATTTAGTTTCAATAACATAAAAAATAAAATTTAAAAGAAAAATTTAATATTAAGAAAACAAATAATTTATTGTTTCTTATTTGATCAAGCGATATTTATTGTTAAATTTATGTTTAGTTTTTAATATCTCTTAAAAATAAGCACTACACAAAATTGTGATTGTATTTGAAAAAAATATTATATAAGTAAAATATAACTTATAGATAATTTTCTGTAATTAGAAGATATTATAGTTAACTAAATATATGAAAAATAAATTAAAAAAATTTCAATAATACTAATTATAAACTATTTTTACTAATCTACAAGTATATTTTATGTTATTTAAAAATATTTTAAATGTATTATTACTATTTTGTGAACTTTCCTCTTTTTATGAAATCATATTATATATATATATATATATATATATTTTCGTTTTTAATATATTTTATGTTATTTAAAAATATTTTAAATGCATTATTACTATTTTGTGACTTTCCTTTTTTATGAAATCATATTATATATACATATATTTTTCGTTTTTAATTTGTTTTTATGACTTTATAAAAAAATTTCCTTTTTATTACATATATTTTTGGAAATTTTTGAAAAGGAAACTAAATAAAAAAATTAGTAATACTATTTTTAACATTTTTAATTCATTAAGGGTATCAGTGTAATCAACCATCGTGAGAGTGAACGTGAGAACGACACATAGGAAACTGACTTCTCAAATAATATTATAGAGATTTAATGTATGTTCACGTAAACAAAAATCATAAATCTAGAATGATTGTAAAGTTAGAATGATGATAATAAATTTTCTATTGGTAAAGCTTGTCAAATGATTTTTGTAGAATAAGATTGAACCAAGCTTTTTCTTATGAATCTATACCCCGTAGCAAGAGACGTAACGGTAAAGATAAGCCCAATAATTAAAAGTAAATTGGGAGACCTTTCAAATTAAACCAAGATAGAAAAAAATCCATTTCTGGGTTTCGTATTGAGGTAAACATTGTGATCAAAATGAATAGAGTGGGTGAGAAGAGTATGACCAGGGTGATGGGGATGGAGTAGCCATTCCTATCTGTGATTTCCTTCTTCATAGGAACCTGCAGTGTGCTTTTTCTCCGTTACTTCCCAACAATATCATGGATGAGATCATAGCTTATTGGGTCTTGCTCACCATATCCCTGAAGTTGATTAAGGCATACGTAAGCTAATTCATACTCACTGACACAGTGAGTTAATAGTTCTCTGTTAACTCACAATCACAATACTTCTTAATCACTTCAATCTTTACTTTCCCATCAAAAAATGGTCCATGATCTCTTCTATCTTCGCTTTCTTCCCCAACTTCGTCGCACATTTGATCCATTCACTTTCCCTCTTGACATATATGGATCAATGACTGGTATCCCGCATATAATACCTTAAGAATCACATCACAAAAAAAAAGAGTAAACATCAGATTTTTCAGTCAGTTGTTGTCTGGTTAAGTACTCTGGATCAAGATAACCAAAGCTTCATTGCACCGTCGTACTCACAGGTGTCTGGTTAAGATACGGAGCAGGCTTAGACAATCCAAATTCTGCAACTTCGGCCATGAAATTCTTATTCAAGAGAATGTTAGCAGACTTCACAATCCGGTGTATGATGGCTCTTGTGGAACTTGTATGGAGATAGTGAACCCCTCAAGCTGCACCAACGATTATCTCCAGACTCCAGCTTATGTCTGCAGCTCACCTTGGGTTATCCAAGTCATACATATGGTTCTTAAGCGTTTCCTTTTCCATATACTCGTACACCACGATCATCTTGATGTTCACATTGCAGTAGCCGATCAAAGGAACCAAATTTATGTGTTTGAACTGAGACAGCATATCTATCTTTGTCCTGAATATTATTGATGTAAAGCGGGTTAGTAATTATGTGTGGAAAAAAATACTTTACGTTACGTGTTTGAAGATCGTTATGATCCAAACAGACTGATTGATTCTGGTAAGACCATTTAATAAAAAGTCTTATTTCCTTGTCAATCCTTGATCTCAGGGGGCCATGAACTCGAAACAATAGAGAGTGGTTCGATCCAATTAATAATTTTTAATACATTCAGTCTTTCATCAATGCAATAGCAGAGAAGTTGGTTTGAAACCTCTGTACTCTCTCGTTTACATTGAGTCAAGAGTAATATAAACTCAAGTTATTGACTTGTTCTAGCCATGTGATCAATGTATTTTTTTTTTTTTTTGAACACAATTATTTGGAAAAAATGTACTACACTTTTAGCTATCCGCATCAATTCACAGATGTGGAAAAAAATATATTGGCTAGTGTTCCCATGAGTAATATGTAGTCATCTCAAAATATGCCAATGGATTTTTGAAAGAATTAACTTCCACGGTAAAGTCAAAAAATTATATCGTTACATTACTCTGCTTTCCCTTTTTAAGAGTAAGCTAGGCCATATTATTTGGACTACTCTAAGAATACATAAGTGTCAAGCATCGACAGTCACTAAGAATTATTATCCTAAGAACTTTCAAAAACTATAAAAGAGTATTGTGTAGCTGACAAAAAATAAAAGAAAATTAACAAATACTCACAGAATAAAGCTGTCCAGATCTCTCAATAAAGCAGAAATCAACCTGCGCAAAAAAGAAAGAACATTCACACAAAAAAAAAGATATGTTCTTTGTTCTAGAGTATCTGCGTGTATGCACTTGACTAAAGATGTGAGTGTAGGAAGATAGCAAACACGAGAAAGGTTTCGAGAGAGAATCTTTCTTTCTTATGTAATCCAGAGATAAGCTTTGAGAATACTATTTATTTTTGCAAGTGTGACCAACGGCAGAGTTTGAACAAAGGGCAGCATCTTTTCATAGAATAACATAAAATCTGCTCCTGTATTCCGTTCCTGCATTTAACAAACCAAACGAACCAAATTGAATCTCTATTTCTTTGTGAAATATATAAGCTGACGGTTATATCGAAGCCGGAGAGTTCATAACTGATCCCTTCTCTGAGGAGCGTATTAAGGCGAAGAATGCTAATAGAGGTATGATTAAGCGTAGACTACAATCCACGAAAGAAACCATATACAGTATACAGATTGGTTTAACTTCAAGAGCTAAACAAGTTAAAAAAATTCTGGAAATTTTTAATGGGATACGAAATACCTTTTCTCAACCAAAACCATATCAACACCCATCAGCTCATCTCCCTTCTTGACATCATGTTCCTGCCTTCAACTCAGTGAAAAGAAGCTGCGGATTAGTCATTGTTCAAACAGTGTTAGAGAATGAATCGGAGAGTATGTAGCGGGGAGCTAGGATTAATTGCAATAATTAACAGCAAATATGGTTTCAATTGCCTCGATCAGAAGAGTTACCGGGATGCCGTGAAAGATACAGTGCTCATCAAAGAAAAGAACCGACCCAGAAGATCATCAGTTTTACGTGTTTTTAGAAGGATAAAATTAAAAAGGGTCAACATTGAGAGACGGCCCAGAACAATAAAAAAAATCGAAAACCCGTTAAAAAAAGGCCAGGTGGCATTAGTCCCCCCATAAGGAGTGAAAAGAAACCAACTTTATTATTAAAGATTTAGAATATAAATGTATAAGTAGAAAGATGGATGCATTGTGTTTATATATATTGGCTCAAATTTTGCTGACCCAAGCTAAAAAAAATCAAGTAAAATAAAAATAAAAACTAACACAATCTGTTTCAAGTTCTCATTCTCACGTTTAGCCCCTTTCTCATATTATTCTTTTTACTTTCCAAGACATGAGACAAAACTGAAGACTTCCACGAAGTCGTCTGGATGACTCCTTGGAAGTCTTCTTGAAAACTTCCTGGAAGTCGTATAGAAGACTTCCTGAAAGTCTTCTAGCGCATTTTATTTTAGACGACTAACAGGTAAGTCGTTCCTGAAATCTTTCAAATCTGAAAAATATGCATATCCAAATCCTGATTTGAAAAAACTGTATATACAAAAACGTTCAAATAACTTAAAAACAGAGAAAATTAATAGAAGATTGGATACGTCTACTTTTATAGAAAACACAAAAATACATATCTAAAATTAAGAGATTTACCTTTAAATGAGAGTAAGATGAGAACCATGTGATGAAAAACCTGGAAAACAAGATAAATTAGTAAGAAAGACATGAGAAAAAACAAGATAAATTAGTGAGAGAGACATGAGACCAAAACAATAAATTGATATAAAGTTTGGTGTTTATAAGTTCAAATAGATTAGAGAGAGGTTGGAGAGTTTTAGAATGATGAACATTACATTTTTGTTGCGGCCATTTGAGAGGAGGAGAGAGAATGTGTAAATTTTTCTTTATATAGGGAGACAAAAAATCTAATTAGGTTAAATATTTTTGATTCAGACAACTTACTTGTAAGTCGTCCAGAAAATAAATGGCTTACTTGTAAGTCATCCAGAAGAATTAATTTTTTTAGCGGGAAACTAAAATATTAAGTGGGAATATTAGGACGACTTACATGTAAGTCGTCTGGTTTAAATTGTTCACCAGACGACTTATACGTTAGTCATCTAGCCCTTAAACATAACCCTTAAACTTACTAAATAACTAAACACTTCATAAAATCAAATTAAACATAAAAAGTGTTTACTATACATAGAAATAAACACACATTGGTGAAAATTTAATTTCAAAATATGTAAAACATTCAAGCTTTCCAAAATCTAACCCTAAAAATACATATAATACTACAACATATGTTGTCAAACCCTATAACCAAAGAATATCATGATTAACTACTTTCACTCATCTATGTTGAAAACTATCCAATTTTATTATAGCTTAATTTACATCACTTAAAACTGTTTATAATTATGTGATTTTAATTTTTCACTTGTCAAAATATATATTTTTAAAAATTTAAAATTTATTTTAAGATCAACTACATTGAAGACTAACCTGGGTGTCATCTAGACGACTTCCAGCATCTCAGACGACTTACTAGGGCTATATTCGTAAAAATGACTTCTATTTTTTTGTCACAAGGGGCTAACTGTAATTTCACAAGGGTTTTAGGTTAGTATTCCATTTGATTCAAATTTGAGTATATATTTGCAATCAAAATCATGTTTTGACTCATATTTGGAAAATTCCCCTATTTTTTTGCTAGGTAAATGAAAATGAAATTGTTAATGATATTGTGGCAATGATCATTCAAAATGAGATAAGCATCAAAATGAAATTGATTCCTTGAGGAAGCCATATTATTTTTCTGTCTTCTTTTAAAATATTGTGGTTGGGACTAAAGTATTTATTAATGAAAGGATATTTATTAGGGCTATTTTCAAAATTGACTTAAAACATAAAGTCAACAACAAAACTAACCTATGTTTTTTTGGATTTTTCTTTTCCCTATTCACCCCACAAGTTCATATTATTAACGAAAATTCCATTAGTTTTTTTCTTTCGAAAATGGGATTTTTACTCTCTCAACCTCAACATCTTCAAGTATTTACAAGATTGTCATTATCATCAATACACTAACCACCATAAACAAACAATTTGAAGCTCTTATTGTACCTCAAATTGATTTACACTTCTTATTTCTCAAAACAACATCTCTTTCACTTTCTCTCCATGCTCATCCGAAAAACCCCAAAATTTTGATTCTAAATTTTGTATGGTTCATAGAGCCATTAAAACTTACGATTCTTGGTGGGTCACTTTTGTTTGAGATTTTGGCTGCTTGGAGAAGACTTCTGTGCGCTAAACAAGTTATTTCACTGGTTGAAACTATAATATAAAAAAAAATTCAGATATGTTCGACCAGATGACTTCTAGGTAAGTCGCCTGGTTGTAGACGATTTACCTGGAAGTCATCTGGTCAATGAAGAGGTTAGTTTTGCAATTGACTTTAATTTTTATTTCTAGACAACTTACATGTAAGTCGGCCATCTTTGTTTGATAAAGAAAAACTCGAGACGACTTACATGTAAGTCGTTTAGGGAAAAATAGTTAGTTTTGCATTTAACTCGAATGTGTCTGAAATTTGAATTTTCCTGATCGAGATACGTGTAAGTCGTCCAGTACAAAATTAAAAAAATAATATTTTTTTTTCTTGACAAGGTTAGTTTTGCAATTGAAATATTGAACAAATTTTTTTTTTACTAGACGACTTACACGGAAGTCATCCATTCAACGACTTACATGTAAGTCGTCCATGATTTTATTCCGAAATTCTGGTCAAACCTTTCTTATCTTGGACGACTTACATGTAAGTAGTCGGACGGATGACTTACATGTAAGTCGTCTAGAAAAAAAATATTTGTTTGATATTTCAATTGCAAAACTAACCTGAGACGACTAGCATCTAAGTCTTCTAGAAAAATGGAAAATATAAATTTTTTAATTTTCTTCTGGAGGACTTGCTCGTAAGTTGTTCAGGAAAAGTCAAATTTTTGACACATTCCGGTCAAATGCAAAACTAACGTATTCGTCAAGACAACTTACATGTAAATCGTCCAGATTTTTTTTAATCAAACAAAGATGGACGACTCGTCTAGGTTAAAAATTAATTGCAAAACTAAACTAAATGGACAGACGACCTCCGTTGAAGTCTTCTACATTAATGTTTAATAAACTTTCATTTTCTCTAAACGTATAAAGACCTTTTAATATTTTTTGTTAATTCATGTATATTAGTCAATATCAGAGCTACTGAATGAAATTTATAACTTAATTGGTGATATTTATGACGTTAATAACATTCAAGTTAATTAAAGTTTGTAGCTGATCTGAGAAGACTTCCGTGGAAGTCTTCTACGCTAGTTTTTGAATAACTTGTATTTTTAAGAGTATTAAGTAACTTCAAGATATGTAAAACTCATATTTTCAAAATATGTTTTCTCCCTTTGCTTTACTATTGCATATACGAGATCTAAAGATGAGAAGAAGACTATTGAAGTTTATTATTTCATTGATTTGTAAATGTGTAAACACATTGTTAGCACATATATTACATATTGGAAAACATTATTACTTATTTTAAAAAAAAAAAAAAAATCAAAACTAAAGGAGTACATGCAGTTTTAGTCGTCTGGAAGAATTCCAAGAAGTCGTCTGGAAGACTTCCAAGAAGTCGTCTGGAAGACTTCCTGGAAGTCATCTGGAAGACTTCCTAGAGGAAGTCGTCTGGAAGATTTTCTAGAAGTCGTCTAGTGCCTTATATTTTAAAAGAATTCCGAAAAGACTTCCCATAAGTCTTCCAAAGTCTGATACAAATCTGAAAAAATGTATATTAATCACAGATCTGGAAACCTTAAAAAAAGAAGAAGATAGAATTGTGAAAAAGACATGAGACAAAACTGAAAAATTCCATATCAAGTTTATTGTTTTCAAGTCAAAGAGATTAGTGAGAGTTTGGAAATTTTTAGTTGGAGAAAAAATAAGAACTTTATGCAACAGGAGTTACCAAATGAAGAAAAATCAGACATAAAAACTTACCAAAACGTTCAGATCTGTTATGAAATGGAGATACATGGGAGAAAACTATGTTAGAAGACTTTCAAAACTCATCTGGAAGACTTCCACGAAGTCGTCTGGAAGACTTCCTGGAAGTCATTTGGAAGACTTCCTAAAATCTTTTAGCGCATTATATTTTAGACGACTAAAATGTAAGTTGTCCCAGAAGCCTTCCAGATCTGAAAAACCTGCATATCCAAATAAAAGATCTGAAAAACCTGCATATCTAACAAATGTTCAAATGGCTTAAAAAATGAGTGGACGATTAGATAAATCTACCTTTATAAAACACACAAAAATACATATATAAAATTAATATATCTACCTTTAAATGAGTGGAATATGAGAACCATGTGATGAAGAATCTGTAAAACAAGATAAATTAGTGAGAGAGACATGAGACCAAAACAATAAATTGATATAAAGTTTGGTATTTATAAGTTCAAAGAGATTAGAGAGAGGTTGCAGAGGTTTAGAATGATGAACATTACATATTTGTTGCAGCCATTTGAGATAAAGAGAGAGAATGTATAAATTCTTCTTTATATAGGAAGATAAAAAAATCCAATTAGGTTAAATATTTTCGATTGAGACGACTTACTTGTAAGTCGTCCAGAAGACTTAATAATTTTAGCGGGAAACTAAAATTGAAGACTTCCTAGACGATTTATAAGACCCTAAACATAAATCCTAACTGAAATTAACTAACTAAGCATTTCATAAAATCAAATTAGACTTAAAAAAATTTTATACACAAAAATAAACACATATTGGTAAAAAGTTTAAATTTTTTAAAAAAACATTCTAGATTTTCAGTTTTAGTTTAATAAACAATTATTATTATGTAAATTTTTATTTTTCTTTTTTTCTGAATAAAATAATATTTAAGCAGAAAAATAAATTT